CACCAGCAATCATCACTCTTTCAATCAATACGACATGTCAGGCCTCAACCTCGCATCCCTACCAAGATAATCTAGAGCAGACGTACACCGTCAACGAAGCATAACAACAACAATCGTCACTCTTTCAATCAATAGGACATAACAGGCCTCAGCAGTGTATAACTGTTAGTAAAATCCATACTTGCAAGCAGACGGACCGGACGAGCACCCGGTCCAGTCCACTTTGCCGCGTGCGGCACCCTCCCCCCGGACCGGACCGGACGGGGCCGTTTTTTTTTTTTTTGGGGGGGGGTTGGGGCGTAACTGGTCGTCGGGCGCACATTCGTGCGCTGTGCAGGTCCGGTCCGGCGGTCTGCCGCACGTGCAGAACCGCCCAGACGGTGTCCGCTTGCAAGTATGGTAAAATCTGTAAAGTCTGTAAAAAAAGTAACTTTGGCTCCATGACGAACATGTAAAGGGACGGTGGACCCGGTTTCCAGCAGGTGCTGGTACCCACCAATGGAATGGAGCCATGCAAATGCAGGGATGGTGGAGGAGGTGTCCCCCACACTCGTCATCGATGTTTCTTCAAAAAAAAAAAAAAAAAAAAAGAAACGACATAACGCTGATGATAACAGGCCTCAAACTTGCATCCCTTCCAAGGTAATCTAGAGCAGACGTACACCATCAACCAAGCTGAACACATCAATCAATTATCTCTCTGTCAATCAATAAAAGACATAAGAGGCTTCAACCGCGCACCGCTTCCCTTTTACATCTTATATACATTAGTTGGACCTCCAGGGACATCCTGCATCGGTCGTTGTAGAGGCAGGGTATCAGGCGCTGCAGTGCTCTCCGACGTTCAGTCACTCGAAGTTCGGAATGACCCACTTGGCCCTCTGGACCTTCCTAGACGGAGACCTCTAAGGGCTTAGAGCCCCAAGTCCTATTGCAAGCCGTGTCCCTTCCACACCCCTACCAGCTTGCCAATTGAGATCGGATTCTTTCCCTGCATATCCAACCCCCATGTCTTTCTTCTCCCCCCCCCCCCGAAAAGGGAACCGAGCAGCCCCAGCTAATTCAGAATTATATTATTCAATTTATTCTTGTATTCGGAAAAACATCAGCGATTTTCTGAGAACCTGTTTTTCAGAGGTAAGCTAAACGGAACATACGTACATCTTTTTCGGGTTAAACCACCAGTACTTGGGCGACGCCATAGCGTTAACGCTACGCGATTTCCGCGGCCGGCGGGCCGTCGATAAATCGAATCGACAGCCCGCGCTGCTTCGAGATTTGGTCGGCCGGCGCGACGCGCAGTGCCCAAGTACTGGTGGTTTAACACGGTAGAGTAGAGCTATAGACCAAATGACTAAAAAATAATAAAATAAAATCAGCAACAACGCAAACGAAAGATATGGCAGCGGTTGCATGTTCGTTGCAAGCATCATCATCACACAGCACGTACACGACAAGAACATGAGACAGTCGCAGAAAAAAGTTCAATGGGAACCTCACCTCTGGAGTCAGTGGACATTCATATGGGTCATCAATGCCAGTAAAACCTTCCAAAGTTCGAAACGATGGGAAGGAAAAAAACACATCATTGACATTCACATGCCACAGACATGCAGATTGTTAGGGAGCAGCAAAAAAAACATGGCACACGGAAAAAGTTTGAAAAACTGAATGATTAAAATAAATTATAAACATTAATAAAGTGACATGTTATGACTTCCAAGAATCTCAAGGGGGAAAAAAAAAAAAAGACTCCAATGACATAATTTTGAAACTGTGCAAGGGTATACTCACAAACTAGCACATTTTCTTATTTCTGGACGGAATTGGCCAGATGCATCCTGGTTCGACCGTAAACGAGGTCAGGTACATTTAAGATAGACTAGTGCCAGTGTGAGCACGCCCTCAGTGTGATGACGTATGACCCGAGTTCGAATCACAACGGACCTAGATGACGACTGCAACGACTTAAGAAACAAAAAGCGAGAAAAAAGGGGGGGGGGCAGTGTCCAAGGGAAAATACAAGAATAAAGGTTCCAGATTCAGGGGCCGCAAGGCCTCCAATCTCTGCTCTGTCAGGTGGAGCCCCTCCCCTGTAGAAAAGGTATCCTACTGGCGATCACAAGAAAAAAAGGATAGGCAAAAAGGTCAACCACTATTGTAACCAGATTATAACAAAGCAAAATAGCCTATAAAAACCGTTGTTATGATCCTGGCCAATGTTGAAGTGCAAAATTCATGAGAAAGCACAATGCCGTCCAATTGCAAAGGAAATGGTTGAGAGGAGGGAGAGAGAAAGAAAAAGAAGAAGAAGAAGAAGAAGAAGAAGAAGAAGAAGAAGAAGAAGAAGAAAAAAGAAGACGACGCCGACGCTGACGAAGAAGAAGAAGAAGAAGAAGAAGAAGAAGAAGAAGATGTACACCAGCAAAAGAGTTGAAAAGACCAATGATAATCCCCCTCCTTCTCGCCAACCAAACTCCTCCTTTTCTCCTCCCCTCTTATTCAAATAATAAACAATAATAATAATGATGAACCCAGGTGTATTCATAAGGGACGCCGAGCCCGGTTCTCAGCATAAGACTCTTTGTATAGTTTCGCAGGAGGACATTCCAGCAGTCACGATCTCAATCTTGTAAGGGACGCTGGACCCGATTTCCAGCAGGTGTTGCTCCCCACCAATAGATGGAGCCTGTCCCCGGGTGCTAGCGATGTCTGCTCCTACCAGCATCGCTAGCACAGCAGGGGATGGTTTTCTTTATTAAAAAAAAAAAGAAAAGAAAAAAAGAAAAAAGAAGGATAGCACAGATTTCGGACAATTTTGGGGGATATAATGGATATTTGAGGCGGGCAGGGAGATGGAAGGAGAACTCGCTGGTGGCCCCCAGTGGCTCCTTCCGGTATCTGTGGCAGGCCAAGGGTTCAGGAAGGGAGGCAGGGGCTGCCAGCTTTTTGTGTAGAATCTGGCATCGGGCAAAATGAATTAGGAGGCAGACCCCTGTTTTTTCTTGTTTTAGTTACGCACAGATATGGGACGCTGGACCCGTTTTCCAGCACTGTGCCTTTGCTATGATCGCCTCATGCTCACGACTATTCGCTCAAGCCTTCAAGCTTTCAACAATGTATTTCAGAAGGGTCTCTTATCTACTCTCAAGCCTCATGATCCCTGTCTGAATGTCTTCGACTCCCTGTGTCGACATCGTCTTTGCTCTCCTACAAACTATGGCGCCGTTCACTACTACCATCCTCACTAGCTTCTCTCTTATCCGTGGCCTGGTTGCCCAATAGCGCAGCAACACTTCCACAACAGCCCAAATGGCAAAAAGTCGTTGACGGTGGCTGCGTGTTGACTTTTGTACCCGCTGCAGTTCCAAAATCAAACTTGTGACATCGTTCCCTTTCCTCGGCCGTGGCCGGCCTCAATGATCCAGACCATACTTGCAAGCGGACGCCGTCCGGGCGGTTCCGCACGTGCGGCAGACTGCTGGACCGGACCCACGCGGCGCATGAATGTGCGCCCGACGACCAGTTATGCCCCCCGCCCCCCCAAAAAAAAAAAAGGCCCCCGTCCGGTCCGTGGGGAGGGTGCCGCACGCGGCAAAGCGAAGCGGACCGGACGCTTGTCCGGTCCGTCTGCTTGCAAGTATGATCCAGACATATATCTATGAGACCTTTACAAACAAAACGAGAAGCTACATCTGCAGAAGAAAAAGAGAAAACGAAGTGCGCCTTAAAAGGCCCTTAATAGGTAAATACTAAATAGCAGTATAAATATGGAAGTGTTTCGAGCATCCCAAACCCAAAAGGTTGCCCGCATAGGTTTTCCCCAAAAGTCGTACGACTTTCCTTGGACTGAGCTGCGACTGACCGTGGACTGACACGTGGAAGTTTCCAAACGACTGACCTTACTCATCCTAGCCTACCTGTTTTTTCTGTACCGCCTGTACGGTGCCTACCGGACGTTTCTAATACAGCCTACAGGAAAATATATATGGTGCAGCGAGAAATTTGGAGACTCTGAGACGCACGAGACGAAATACCAGCAACAAATGTCCATCCATATGGAAGACGTGTACACCCTCAAACCCTACAGAAGAGCAATATAAGCTCTTATCACACCATCCAGAAGGATCCGCAAGACATCACCTGCCTCGTGTTATGGACAACATAGCTGAACACAGAGTACACGCAGACCACAAGCAGCATAGCAGGATGTACATTTCACACGATTCTACGACAAAGAAGTAACACCCACAGGAGCCAGCGGCGTAGCTCATTTGGTAAAGCACGAAAGCGGCATTCAGGAGGTCGTGGGTTCGATCCCCACATCTTCCATTCAAACCCCTAAAGCCTCCTGCAGCATGCTGTGGATTTACCAGCTGAGATAGTCGACTTGCCCCCCGTAGCTCAGTTGGTAGAGCACGAAAGCAGCATTCCATGCGAATCCCGACGGCCTCCTACAGCGTGCTGCGGGTTCACCAGCTGAGATAGTCGACTTGCCCCTTCTACCTCAGTTGGTAGAGCATGAAAGCGACATTCACGATGGGCTCGATTCCCCGTGTCTTCCATTCGAATTGATCGAGCAATTACAACCAGGAGGTGGGCTTGGAAGCAGCCATCCTTTGAGTGCAACGAGGTTGCCTCTACCAAGAAAATTCGGGAACGCCTTCAACTTTTTTGTCCGTGTGCCGGCACGAATTGTGGTCCCCTGCGCCGCGCTGCGGGTTCGCCAGCTGAGATAGTCGGCTTGGCCCCCCCCTGGTTGGTCTTGGTAGGGGTTATTCCTTCGTCCCTTCCATCCCTCACCTGGGGTTAGGCCCAACCCCAGTGGAGTAAGGTTTCCCGGCGGTGCTTAGACATGAGTGGAGGCTGGTGCTAAGACATACAGGTAGGTAGGCAGCGTGAGGTATAAGTGAGAAAAATGATATAGCTTAGTTTAAAAAAAAAGAAAAAAAAAACCAGAAATTATTTATCTGTTACTTATGCCATCAGCCATCACGACGGAAACCGTGGCAGTCATTTAAACAGGAACACTCTGTCCCACCAGTGTTGGAGACAGTGGGGCCGTCGTTACACTTTTTTCCAACAGGTCACTACTTATGGCGAGATGTGTTGTGCACAGTCTCTGAGGATCCCTAATAGCTCGGTCGCTGCCTAGGGCACGTTAACGGCTGTACCTTGGGATCGCCTGGAAGTGAAAACACTGGGGGCGATGCACTCATTCCACTGCCCTGCTACACACTCACCGCGGTCCAAACGAAGTTGTTTGTCTGCCAAGCCACTCATTCATGAAAGTTCCAAGGGGATCCTTCCACATAAAAATAGAAAAAGGTGATACCCAATCTATCTGATGTGCTGAAGAGTGGGGGCGATGCACTCATTCCACTCCCATGCTAGTCTCTGAGGATCCCTAATAGCTCGGTCGCTGGATAGGGCACGTTAACGGCTGTACTTTGGCATCGCCTGGAAGTGAAAACACTGGGGGCGATGCACTCATTCCACTCCCATGCTACACACTCACCGCCCTCCAAGCGAAGTTGTTTGTCTGCCAAGCCACTCATTCATGAATGTTCAAGGGGATCCTTCCATGTAAAAAATTACTAAAAATAGAAAAAGGTGATACCCAATCCCTCTGATGTGCTGACCAGGGAAATGGGAAACAAATAACCTTGAAAGTATGACAGTACCGTCTTCCCCCCAAACACAACACATCCTCATTTTGGCTGCACCAGACCAGAAAGATAGCTTGTATACATTCGTTATCAGCGTACGTTGTATTTGGGGGAAGACGGTAGCCACATAGCAACCAATAGACCAATGAATTCATAATTTCATATACAAGATTATAACTACCTTTCAACTGTCCGGATCGCGCCAGTCTGTACAAACCCTTTGCATCCCTTCGCTCGCACACCGATAATGGCACCTTCATGTATACCTTTGACAAATAGATCAACAAGAAAATAGCACAAGCGAATGTCTTCACTGCCAAAGCAATGAACTAAAAGGAATCACTAATATCTTCTAAAAAATAAGCAATGAAAACCATGATGCAAAAAAAAAAAGATGGATCTTCATCTTCAAGTTTTGAAGCGATTGGCCACTAAAATGGCACTAATGCCTTTTCAAGTTCATACACTGTATGCAATCAAAAGTCCATACTCACATATACCTCAAGAACATTCCTGAAGTTTTTTTTTTTTTTTTTTTTTTACCGGAGTGGCCTGGGACCACTTGCCTGGCCGGGCCAAAAATGAATAAAAAAATTAAGAGTTCAATATATATATTTTTTAACTCTATTTGATCCGACCCTGAGGCAAAAGTTGTTGACTTCAGGGGTCTCATCCCCCCCCCGTACAGTGCTAGAGGGTGTCGTCACTGTCGTGACGCCAAGTTTGAAATGGGACTTCGTCACTTGACCTCTTAGCACTTCAGTGAATTTTCTGAAATGTTATTGATCGAATCTCCGAACAGGATCCCTCAGGCCTCATTGTGGGGGACAATTATGACATTCTCTTGAAATTACTTAGATCGATACCCCTGTACAGATTTGGAGAGCTAGCGCTTCAAAAGATATTTTGACAACCTGGTAGTGTTGAAGAGGCTCCCTTTCTTTGCAATGTGTTGTGTCTTTTAGTCTATGCTTCACATTGTTGATGTATTGCAATTACTTAGATCGATACCCAGTTTCCATCACGTGCTGCTCCCCACGAATAGATGGAGCCATCGTACCTTGCCTTCCTCTATCATTCGGGTCTCTTACCACCCGGAAGGCAGAGGATAAGGCCTGAAGGATGTTTAAACTTACAAAAAAGGAAAAAAGTTGTTGAGTTTATTTTTCTGCACAACATATAGCTCTCTGCTTTTGCAGATGATGCGGCGAGCGTCGGGCCTGTACTAGCAGGCTCTTCTTTGGTTATGATAGAAAATAGTTTCGATTCTCACTCTTTTCTGCTTTTCTCTTCCCCATGGTGGGGTTTTTTCGTTTTGCAGGCCTACTGTATGGTTCCGTTTTCTTTACTATGGATATGGTAGAATTCTGGTAATGTTGTCTTCGTCCCGGTTGGTTTTGTCACGTTGTTCGGTCTATTTGGGATGCGTAGAAGTGCTTTCATGTGGGACTAGTCATCCGGGTTTTATTTTGGTATCCTGGTTGGTTGATTTCTGTTGTTTGGCCTGATTTGGGGGCGGTTCTTTTATGTGGGAATCGTCATCTGGGATGTATGGATCAGTCTTTTCATTATGGTTATGGTAGATTTGGTAATTTTTGCACCCTTGTCTGCATCCCGGTTGGTTTCGTCCCGTTGTTCGGCTTACGGTAGGGTGTCTGCGGCGGTTATTTCATGTGGGACCTGTCATCCGGGTTTTTTAATCCTTTTGGCATCCTAGTTGTGGCTGTTTCCCGTTGTTCGGCCTTGGCATTGGGGCGGTGCTTTTCTGTGGGAATTGTCATCTGGGATTGTCTTTTTTGTTTTTTTTTTCGCCGTTGGTGGCGTCCCAGTATTCTAGTTTGGAACAGCAAAGCAGTAGAAAGATGAAAACGATACCAGTTTTTGCAACAAAAAACAATCGCAAAGGATTCATGGAGTTGACGCAGAGTCGCTGGTGAGTACAAAAGGTTTGTTATCTGGGATTGCTTGTTTGCAGGCAAAGGTGTTTTGATATCCTGGTTGGTCTTGTCCCGTTGTTTGGGCAGTGCTTGCATGTGGGACTTGTCATCTAGGATTTGTTTATGTTTGTTTCCCCCTGTTTTGTTATATTTGGCTGTTCCCCTCCTCTTTCTTTGCCTCTTTGCCTTTTGGCTGTGTGCAAGCGGGTCGATATGACACACGGGGGTGGGGGCATCCGCCTAGCTGCCCGACAAGAGAGGAAGAAGAGGACAACAAATATATATATAATATATTGTCACATCACTACAAACTAAAAGAGCGCACTTTGCGGAACAAAGAATAAAAGCAAAAAACGGGCACAGTGATAACATGCAAAAATAAAAATAAAAAGAAAAA